TATATTTTTTAAAATATTTTCCATTGTTAACTTCTTTTTAAGTACCAAAAACATTTAGAAAAAAATATATATATGTTATGATGTTGATTTGGGGTTAATAAAGACAAACGCCAAATAACACGTAACAATAAAAAGGGGTTTATTCGGTTGGTAAGTAGGTACAGAAATCGCCTGAGTAGTCTATAACTAACTCAGCGAAGAACTTCTCCGACTCTGTCTGTCTTTTGACATGCCACTATTTAACGTCTTTGTTTGTAGACAAGTTTATCTTCAAGAGGGGTGGTAGGTTTCCTGCACAACAATTCTAACAGAAAAAATGTCTAAATCGTGTAACAGCAAAATAGTTCATCCCACAAAATGTTTAATATCTTAAAAAAAACATCAAAACCGAGTCTCCTTTTTCCAGGCTTTCAGATAAGACCTTTAACCATCTTGACACCATTTTTCATAAAAATCTTTGAGTTACTCAGCTAAAAAGTGAGCAGATTAAAATTGTTTTGTGTCACACCCACTGTTTTTCTAACTGAGCAATGGTGAGAGGAAAAAGGTCATTAAGGCCATCACAAATGATACCAACATCAATATTCTGCCTTCCATCCTCAAAGTCCATTCAAGAACCATCAAGGGATAAGTAGAGACGAAAACTGGATCAGGAAGTCACAACTGCAAGAAGGATCAACTTAGAGCTACAGAGATTAATTAGAAGAGATCAAACTCAATTCATAAGACATTTGGCACGTGAGAGAGGAGTTTCAGCTATGACAGCCCAAAATTGTTCAATTGAGAGGCAACTTTTATCTCCAAGGTAGAAAGTTAAAAGTTTAAAAAGGGCGAGATCATCTTAAATAAGTTGGAAAATGATCCTGGAATTATATATATATATATATATATATATATATATGAACTATATTTCGATACTTCATGAGTTTTCGATCGTTAGTTATGATTAATTAATGATGTCATGGTCGTATATGATCGATTTCATTACGATTCTTTTGTTAAACTTAGAAATTAATTATACATTCTTATTGCTCAAAGTAGAGTCCAGTAGTGTTATAAAAACAATGGAGAATTCCAGTAAGATATCTTTAATCAGTTCTAAGATACAGCGATTCAGATCTTAATCTAACAATCAGATAATTTTGCTGTTACACCTGAAATATATATATATATATATTTGGAGAGACAGACAGATGCTATATCATTTTTAAGACGTTTTCATAAGCTAAATTTTAATAAAAAATATCTTGTTAACGCAATTCTGATGCAGTTCATATAAGGATTATATATATATATATATATATATATATATATATATATATATATATATATATGTGTGTGTGTGTGTGTGTGTGTGTGTGTGTGTGTGTGTGATTTTTAAAATTTCAAAGTGAAGCAGATATTTTCATATGCAGTATATTATAAAACTAGACCATTGATAATAATTATTATTCATATGTAAAAATAAATTATCGGCAGTTTAGTAGTTATATTTCCATTTTTCAAGCGTTTAATTCGTATATTACATGCAAAAATATTTAATAATACAGATTAATCCCTTGAAAAGGTGACATATTACCAAGAAACTGCGAAATATGGGAAAATTACAGTTAAGTAATTATTTTGCATATATATATATATATATATATATATATATATATATATATATATAGACACATAAAATTGACGAGGTTTATATTTTATATTTAAAATAAACTGGGATTAATATTTTTTATTGTATATTTAAAATAAACGAGGTTTAATGTTATTTTTTAATTTTTATATACATTAAAATAGATTGACCTAAAACTATAAAAATTATTAAAATAGACGGGATTTATATTTCATATTAACGATAGCAAAATGTTCGATATATATATATATATATATATATATATATATATATATATATATATATATATATATTCATATATATGGTGGGGTGCGCGTGTGTGTAGCGGTTCAAACGTGTGAAAACGAAGAAAATATACAATCTTCAGACACGACTCTACAAATTTAAATAAATTTTATTAATGAGTATTTGTTTTCTTTCAAATTGAAAGAAACGAATTTAAATGAATCTTTGCAAAACAACGTCACAGAACATTTGTTTGTTTTTCATTACAGTACAACCCAATCAATTGCGTTAGTATGATAGAAGAAACAGAATGTGCCTACATAAGGCGCGTTACACGTATTTAAATAGGTCTATGAATCTGTGTAATTTTTCAGTAGTAGCAGCGTGCCAGCAGGCAAGGAAGTTGTGTTAATACTACTGCTAATATCTGCGTTGACAATACATCGTCTCGTATATTCTAAACGTGCTTAATTTAAGGTCTCTAAGCTTTTGTAATAAAAAGTATACTTTAAGAAATGTTTTCAGAATTCACTTTGTCCCCAATATCAAACAACCGACTCTGGTCAAAGGTTTACGCAAAAACTGGAAACTGAATAAGTAATAACAGGAAAATTTATAAGAAATATTAGACTTGTCGGAGTTAACTCCTCCTTCAGTCCGTTAACCCTTTCACCAGGGGTCTCTCTTCCCTGGCTATAAATAGCCGATGACCCTTCGCCTCTATCTCTTTTTTTCCTTCAGGCCTGTGCACTGACACCTTGAGGTAAACTATCTTATTCCTAGAGGATTTTCAGCTATCAACCTCGAAAGTAGTCGCTAACAAGGGATAGCGTGGAAACACGCTAAGCACAATATACACACACACACACACACACGCACATACAGAATATTCATACACGCACGCACATACAGAATATTCACACACACTTCGTCCTTTGTACAGTTTCCATGTATTGTAACTTGTTATTAATATATATTTGTATATACATATATTATCGGTCTTGTTTTGTTTGCTTTCTTTACCTTCTACTTGATTGTTTCTCTTGTTGTTGTCTTTGTTACATTTGATATTGTAAAAAATGTAGAGGGTCAGTTTTTATTTCTATTTATAACCAATACAAATTGGCTGACCCACTATAGACTCCAGAAATCTGAAAGTTAGATTTTACTAAACTCAGAGTTTATTGGTTAATAAATATTTTAGCTATTTTTAAATATCTATTTTAAGGTGGAAAAATATTCTTGATCATTTTCTGATGTGACCTTACAAATTTTGTAGCAGACGATCGACATAGTTGTCTGAAAATTTCAAAGGTCTCGGCGCGCTTCCAAATAAATTGCTAATTGGTTAATATGCGCGAAGGTTATACTTCAAATTGGAGACGAAAAATTGCATTAAAATGAATTAATCTTGAGTAATATAACTTAAATCTATTGCATTTTCTACAATTCTTTAACAGGAATCCATATATATATATATATATATATATATATATATATATATAGAGAGAGAGAGAGAGAGATTGATAATATTAGTGGTAAATATACACATACATATGCAATTATATATCTAAAATATATATATATATACATACATACACACATATATATTTGTATAAAAATAAATCCAAGAGGATAGAATCCAGGTAGAACTCAATGTCCAGGACAGAGTAAGGATATAATAAAAAGGCTTAAACACTAATATTCCATGGTCATAATTTATTCCATTGGAATCGTAAATACGATCCAAATCATCAGACCTACAAATTCAAAAAGAAAACAGAAAAAAAAAACAAGTCCGGGAATAAAAAATAAAATATGGAATATTAGTGTTTGAAGCCTTTTTTATATATATATATATATATATATATATATATATATATATATATATATATATATATATGTGTGTGTGTGTGTGTGTGTGTGTGTGTGTGTGTGTGTGTGTGTATGTGTGTATTTCATTGAATGTGACGAACAAGGAAAATTTTGTATGTTTTATTTAGCTTTTCTCATACCCGTAGACTTTCTTTTCCAAGGGTATGTACAAATTATCGAATTGCTACTATTCCTATACAACACAGCATAGAATACAACCACAAAATTTAAAGAATTAGTCGAAATTATTTGGGACAATCATAACTACAGTTTGTACACATTCTATTCGTAATATAAGAAAAACTGTAAGGACACAAGAACAACTGCTTATAGAGATCTTATTAAATGTTCATTACTATATTTACGTTGATTGAGCTCATCTTTATTGTAATATTCACGACGTTTTGGCCGTTGTACGCTCCGTCCTTCTTCCGGATTTGTCTATATTTCTGAGATTGTAACTATTTACACTGTTTATCATGTTTGGGCTGTTGACCTCATCTTTATTGCCATATTCATATTCACGACGTTTTGAACGTTGTGACCCCCGGCCTTAAGTGAATATAACGAACCCAACTGAAATTGGAACTAGGCTTTCCTATTTCCAATTCCGAGCCTATATCCATTACACCACCTGCACATCCCCACCTGATAGCGGTCATCCATCTAGAAACTGACCAGGCTCGACATTGCTTAACTCGGTTCATCGTACCTGAACCGGTGTTTCAACATGAAACTGAGAAAGATATTAAAGGAATAAACATTGCATAGAAGTGCAAAGGATAGGAAGCTACGGAGAGTCATCACTGCTCATGACACCCATCTAGGTACTGACCGGAGACAATGTTGCTTAACTTCGGTGATCGTACGAGAAACGATGTGTCAACGTAATATGGCCACACGCTCAAGAAGAGACTGTGATATATACTAAGGGGATAAACATTGTTTATAGCTACAAACAACAGGAAGCTGTGGAGAGTAATCATCGCCCATTTCCCAAAGGAGCATACCACATAAAAATATACAATATCTTGTATTTCGAAGTCGTCTCCCATCGAAGTACCGAAATAGTAAGGAAATAAATATTGCTTAGAATTACTAAGTATAGGATGTTGTGGAGGGACATAAATGCTCATGTCCTGAACAGACAGCCACGGTATTTGCGTTAAATGCATATAAATAACTCAACTGAGATTAAAACTTGTTTCCGTGAATTCCAATTCTGAGCCGTTATCCATTACACCACCCGCACATCCAAACTAAAAGAACCTAGTGATCGCTAGTGGTTTCCCATCTCAGTACTGACCAGTCTCGACGTTGCTTAACTTTGGTGATCATACGAGAATCGGCGTTTCAACATGATATTGTCGTAAGCCCGGGAAGAGACTGGCATATATAGTAAGGGAACGAATATTGTTTACAGCTACAAAGGATAGGAAGTTGTGGAGAGTCATCATTGTTCATGTTTTGAAGGGATACTCTATGGTATTTGCGCGGAATTAAGTATAACGAACCCAACTGAAATTGGAACTTGTCTCTCTGATTTTCAATTCAAAACCTTTATCCATTACGCCACCTTCACTTTCGCACCCATCTAGATACTGACCAGACTCGACATTGCTTAACTTGGGTGATCGTACTAGAACCGGTGTAATATGTCCATAAGCGAAAGAAGAAACTCGAAGAGATATTAAGGGGATATACATTATTTACAGCTACAAACGATAGGATGTTGGGGAGAGTCATCATCGCTCATGCCCTGAAGGAACATACGACATAAAAGCTTAGAGCACTATATGATCCCTAATGGTCACCCATCTAGGTACAGACCAGACTCAACGTTGCTTAACTTGGGTGATCGTACGAGAACCAGTGTTTGAACGTGATATGGCCATAAGCGAAAGGATGTTGGGGAGAGTCATCATCGCTCATGCTCTGAAGGAACATACGATATAAAAGCTTACAGCATCATATGTTCCCAAAAGGTCACCCAACTAGATACAGACCAGACTCGACGTTGCTTAACTTGAGTGATCGTACGGGAACTGATGATTGAACGTGATATGGCCATAAGCGAAAGGATGTTGGGGAGAGTCATCATCGCTCATGCTCTGAAGGAACATACAACATAAAAGCTTACAGCACCATATGTTCCCAAAAGGTCACCCAACTAGATACAGACCAAACTCGACGTTGCTTAACTTGAGTGATCGTACGGGAACTGATGATTGAACGTGATATGGCCGTAAACCCGGGAAGAGACTGCGAGAGATGATAAAGAGACAAATATTGCTTAGAATTACTGAGGCTAGGAAGTTGTGGAGAGTCATTATTGTTCCTGCCCTAAAGGAACAGGCCTCATAAAATGACAAGTCTTTATAGCTAAGCCGCAAAGTGGATGTCGGACATGTTGGATCAAAATAGGAAACTAAAATAAAATGCATATATCAGCGTGTCATCAAAGTCTCGATATTGACAAACAAGTTGTGCGTGAAGAAACGAGACCTTGCTGAATATATAAAAAGGTTATGCAATATTGAGTGGACAATTGAAATAATGTCGTTTAATATGCAGACACTGAAACAGAAATAACACGCGCTCTTTGTGATCGTTTGTGCTTGACAGTCGCCCTAGGAAAAAGTGGACGAAAATCCTTGTCTACAAGATTCTGGGAATTATTTTCGCTATCGTGGAAATTGAAAAATGTCATGGTAAGAAGCCATGGAAATTGCAGATAAACTATTATGAAAAGAATCATGTTTTATTAAAACATTTGAAGAAAGAAAAAACATAATGATATTTCCCTTCCGTATTTTTTATATCTAAAGATAAATGCGATTTGAACTCATGGAAAGATAACACGTTTTATCGAACCTCTAAAACATGAACGGATTTTAAGTTTAACAAAAGAAATGTAAATAATGCTTTTTAAATTATATAATAATATAATATAATTTGCAATTGGTAATTATTTTATTTCATTTACTAGCAGCATGGCCCGGCGTTGCCCGTGCTTGATTCAAAAATCTTACGACTCATACAGCAATCGCTATCACTTGACTTAAAATATTTTTGCCCTTCCTTGCCTTTAAAGGAGTGCCCTTTGCCGTACTGATGTTGCTACATGTCTTATTTCTTGCCTATCTCACACTGCGAATTTTTTCTAAGCTCTATACTAAACATTAAATCTGTTACGAAAAAAAGAACTAAACAAAATGAACACAAAACGATCAGCTTTAAAAAAGGACTCGTAACTGGAAAAACCGAATGAAAAAAGAATGTTAACAACAAATACTTTTTCACACCCAACCCAGTTCTCCGGAATCAGAATCAACGTTGAGTTTAAACAAGCGAATTGGAGTAAAGCCAATTGGAGTAAAGTGCCATGCAGATTTAAATTTTTCCCACTTGTGACGAATGCAGCTATCGATTTTTTTTGGCATGCTAGTTAACATTCGTGTCAGTCAGCTGTTGGCTCTCACGCTGGCCAATAGAATCTTCCTGCCTATTCGGGGCAGCCAGCTATTGGCTCTCACTCTGGCCAGTAGAAAATGGCTACACAAACTACATGAAAACTGCCGTAGAAGCATGAAAAAATCGATTATTTCCACTATCGATGGGAGTTGGGAAATGCAATGTCGGTCTTGGCCTTCCCGCTAATTTGGAGCATGTGCATGTAAATTTTGGTGCAATTCCGTCGAAATCTGCGGCCGTGCATTCGTTACACACACACACACACACACACACACACACACACACACACACACACACACACACACACACACACACCCTGCTTTTTATAGATAGAGATTATATATATATTTGCCACTTTTACTCCAACAGTGTATTTTCCCACCTGTAGAACTCTTTTCGGTTTAATTGCTTCCTTGATAACTACAATGTTCAAAAGTTTAAATACAACATCAATCGCTATATTCTATCTTCTTGAACCCCGTTCATCTGTTGTCCTTTCCTCAATCCTCCCTATACTCAGTCTTTTCTCTCACTTTCACTCCATGTAACCCCCCCCCTGTGTACTAGTGGCATTCGCGCCTTGTCTGGGGTGAGATGATTAACAAAATGGAAATGCAACGTCAACCACTTGTCATTTGTCATTTGGTTATTTCTGTACGGCCGTATCACGTTGAAACATATCTCGAAAGCCCAATAATGTCAAGCAATATCGAGCTTGGTCAGTACTTATATGGGTGACCGTTTCGGAATACCAGGTGCTGTAAGCTTGGGTGTGGGTGGGGTGTAATGCATAACGGCTCGGAATTGGAAAGAGAATTAAGAGATGAGTTCTAATTCCAGTTGAGGTTTTTTTATTCAATCATGCGCAAATACAATTAGGAAAAGTATGAATCCGGCTCTTCTCCCCCATTTATGGGTTAATTAGTAGAACTTTTATCAGTAAATCATTATCTTCAAAAATTCTTACATTCTGGCTTTAAATAACCTGCAAAAGGTTGATAAGCCGTAAAACAGAAATCAATTAATCAAACAAACAATTATTTATGTAATTTGTTTTGCTTTCTAGTGTTTTGTTTACCTAAAGTTTTCATATATTTAAAAAATTAAAGTTTTTGGAGCTTCTAGAACACATCATGTTTATATCCTAACATTATCTTCCAAAGTTTGTCATAGCCGATGTGATAGTGGGTACAAGCTTTGTCTTCCATTTCATGCATCCAAACCGGACAGTGAGAGAAGGCGGAAACTATCGCCTCATGACCAGCTGCTTTGGATAGTTAGACCTCGACCGCTCAGGAAATCAGACCTTTTAGGGGAAGGAAAACCGCAATTTTAAGCTTCCACTACCTTGCGATCATATCCAAAACACGGAAAAGCTATGTAAATCCGTAAAGAAACTGGGATTGGAGCTCCGAAGGCGGTTGACTGTCAAAGCTGATAAATTTCCGGCAACTCCTGCACTAAACTGTCCTCTTATGTAACGCCGTGTATTTCTTTAGATCTTGTCGGTACAGCCGAGAGAGGCAGTGTATGTAGTTTGGGTAATGCACGGCCTCAATATACCATTGCCAGTCTAGGAGAGAGTAAACTTTGGATTTAAACCATCTGTTGTTTTGTAGGTCTTGCCTTTTTAAATTCAGAGAGGTGCGGCCGGGATAAGCTCAATATCCCCGGTACAAAAGGAACTGGTAAGCCATTTTACTATACTTCCTTGAATATAACCAGGAATCACAATTGTAACATGGAGGAGACTTAGAGAAAAATGTTCTAACCGAATAAATGAATGAAAAATAAAAACAATTATAATCCTCGTAAATCACACAAAATGTCACAAATCAAAATTGATGAAGGAATAATTTGATGAGAAGCAGGTGAGTGTTATGACTTGGCCGCCCCAATCTCAACCCCAGAGAAAACTTATGGATCATTATAAAGTACAGGCTCTCGAGAAAGCAGTTGAGCAACAAAAAGGATTTGATTGTATATTTCATATCCGAATGGAATTCAATGCTTGGAGATGAGATTTGCCAGAACCTAATCAAGTCAATGCCAAAAAGGGTTGAAAAGGTTATTCAAAATAAAGGAGGACCCATAGATTATTAAATATTTCGAATTATATTACCTATTATAAATAAATTATACCTCTATTATTTTTTATTTAAAGCAGTTCGGTTATGTTTCTATTGATTACTAGTTGTCGGAAATAAGTGAGTCACTTTTTTGCATAGAGTTTTTCCCTAAATCTCATTTATATCCAAAATTATAATTATCAATAGAATACCTTAGGGTGAGTAAACTTTTTTACGAGGTGGCCGGGAAGGGGTAAGATTGGGTTGAATTGCGAAGAGTTTATTGTGTGGGTTATCAAACCCAGCGCCGTTGCCATTCATTTTGAATATATTTGTTAATGACCTATTTAAAGTCAGTGTATGGGATTTGGGTCGTTGTGTCTACATTCATATCTAAAACTGATTTGTCTGCTAGGTCGGCCAATCTTCCAATCTGATGTGACTAGGAATCCAACATAGTTTGATGTTTACAAGTATGGCTGCTCATATTGCATAATAGTTTGATAATTGGATTTTTTTTCCTTCAAAGCCATTAGGACTGACAGTAAGTTCGAAAGAAATAAAACTTTTTTTTGTTTGCTCTCTGTAATGATATTGAGAGCTTAGCTCTATTGCGTAATCCTCCGAAGTGAAAATAGAGCTTCCCTTTAGGAGGTGCTTTTTTGCAATATTTTCGCCTTCCGCTGCACTTCCTGTAATGTCCTCACACTTTGACCCGTCAGTATAGATGAGTGTATGGTTAGGCTATTTTTACAATATTCCCTGAACTTGTACTGGAATGTGAATGGATGCGTTTTTTTTGTGTAAATCTAAGTTTTATCATTATAAATACATCAATCATTGTTGTTTGCAATTGTTTCTGAAGTCCTTCCCTTTTGGTTTTGTGTCTTTGCATCCCTTATAAAAGATGCAGGGAGTTACCTTATGATTTCCTAAATTCCAGCTTCATTTACTGATTCATTCGGTGTGATATATACTGAGCAGATGTTTATTGGTCTGTGTAAGGGTCACTTTAACAACAGTCACCTGTAAAGTAGTTGTTCAATTTATTTTACTTTGAGATACATCATTCGTAACTAGGATGGATGTACCGCCTGACGCTCGGAGCCCAGTGTCATGTGTGTAGTTGTATTAATGATATTCCTTTATATTCACTTTGTCATTTTGCTTAAAGAAGGTTTCTCGAAGGAAAACAACTGCCGGTGACAGATCTGTTATTAACAAAAAAAAAAGTCAATTTATACTTGCCTTTATACCACGGAAGTTTCATTGAATTATTTGATACATGATCGCTAAATGTTCTCAGAATTTAGCTTATTATGTCGTTGTGATTTAATTTTCCGATGTTTTAAGTTTGGAGATTTTGGCCATTTGTGTGTTCAGACTTTCCACCTCCATTTCTTCCAGTTTGTCAAATTCGATTTTGGGTAACAGCGTCGTTTAGATGGATGTTATACACGTCTTTTAAGAAGAGTGCTTAATCTCTCATGGCGAAACCGCTCAACTCTAGAAATGATATATGGTGACTTTCCAAGAGTATCAACTTTAGTTTGTAAGAGACGTGTCCAGTTCGCCGGGCATTGTGCACGTGCCACAGATGAACTTGTGTCAGCATTTGTACTCTGGAGGCACCCATCATCTGACAATCGATCACGCAAGTTAACCTTTCCAGATAGGATAAAACGTGACACATTGATCCCTAAGG